AACAAACCAGAGATATGGTCAATAAACCAATAATCAAAGGGTTTTTCGTTTCATTATAAAAACTTTTTTTTTTTTTTTAAGTGTCTGTAAGCAAAGATTCCAAGAACTGGAACTCTAGAACTAAATGACAGGCAACGAAGGAATGATACTGACATCTCCTCTGACATTAAAACAAGGAGTTGGACTTGATGATCCTTATGGGTCCCTTCCAACTTGGGATATTCTATGATTCTATGATACAGTCTCCACAGGAAACTCTTATTTAGAATCCTATCAGACTAACAGATATTGAAGGTGTGATGAAGAACAGACACTTTATCACTTGGATTTTCACTGCGAAGGATACAATTGGGGGAAAAAAAAAAGCAGTGGTGGTGGGTAATAAATAAAATGTCTCATTGTTCTGTGCAATGTTATACACACTTCCTGCAGAAATACCTGTTTTTCTCCAGATCATTTACGGAAGCATAAAGCATGGGAATCCGCAGACAGATACACTGTACAGATTAGTTAAATACGAAAGGATCTCAAGAATTTCAGACAAAGCTAATCAACTGTGAAACATACTGGCATGTATCTATCAGAGCAGACAGCACAAGATAATACAAGGTGAAAAGACCACACAGCATTTATGAATTCTACATTAACCACTGCAAGCCTGAGCAAACAGCCACTAAAAAATTTTCATTCAGGTAAACAGAAACCAGATGCTCAATAAGCATTAATGCAGGAGATAAAACAATGAATCTTAAATCTAAAAAGCTATTCTCAGTAATGCTTGTATTACAGTTGTATACTTTTCTCTTCTTCATTAAAAAGTTCACTTCAGGTCAAACCCAATTATTTCTGAAAAGATATACAGGCAAGGGGAGTTTGATTACTGCTGCTGAGGAAAAACTGTTAGAGATATGTCAGAGATATACTATAGACAAACATTTGAAGTATAAATCAGGATATCCTTGATACAAAATAGGTTTAAAATCTACCTTAATTCCCTTGAATTCTCAAGCAACAAGAAAAAATATTTTATATTTATAACAAATATAAAAGTATTTTTAACATGAAATTAATTGTATTTCATGGTATAGTTTTACCAGTTTTTTAGTGACATACAGGGCTGCTAAGTACAAAACACCAGTAGAAACAAATGACTACAGCTAACTTGAATTTTTCCACAGCAGACAGACAAGACTGAATCAATTCCTATACGCTACGTAGGTTACTCGGACAATGTTATTCATAACATAACCAGAAACGTACTAACATAAGCATTTACATGGACATTCTGAAAAATACCAAAATATCATGTAGTTATAATAGCCTTCAAAGCAGTGGAATTCTTAACACTTATTTCAATTAAAAGAACTATGTCAATACTGAACATTTTTGAGTTTATACCATTCTTATTATAGCATCCACTGATCCTCCCACCTTCCAAACGCATTCCTGCAATGCTGTGTGCCTCGCTTCCCTCTGCTACTGATATAATTCCAATAACATACCCCCACATTCTTTATCTACATACTGTGTAACAACAGCAATTCTACAATAGCAAGACTAAGGAAAACTATATTCTTTTTAACAGAAGAAGAAATTGCTAACCCTAAGACAGCAAATGATGACAAATAACACAGGCCCAATTTCTTCTCTACGTGAACTGTTAGTTAGCTGTCATTTTTAAATTCAGTGCCAAACAACAGGAAGAAAATAAAGATGTCTAGCTAAACACGTCAGAAGACACCACATCCTTCTGCTTAACATTAGATGCTGAGGACAGGTGCAGCCCTACTACACTTATCTGAAGGGTACATATAGTCATACATTTTTCTACACTCAGGCAAGCAGTCTCCACTGGATACATCATTTTGGATAACTCACTTCTTCAGCTTCATTTGATTGGCAAAAAAAAAAAAATCAGTAAGAATGAATTATTTACTTAGCTCTTATGTAAAATGACTCCCATTTGTAATCCTAAACATTTTCAAGAACCAAGCAACTTACCCAAGTTTCAGCATGTTGATCATATCAAAGTTGACTACATCGAACACCTTCATGGCTTTGTCATCTCCAACTGAACAAAATAACGCCCCCTCTGAACTAACAGCAATACTCTCGATAACACCTGTTAAAACAAGGTAACATACTCTTAAGACACAGGAAAGGGACATTCTTCATTTCAGTTCTCCACAGAAAAACAAAAGCCATACAGACATCTAAAACTGTTTCAGCTGTTTCTCCATCTTTTTTGAACTAAAATGTTGTGTTAAGGGTTTTTGTTTTTCTTTATCTTTGCTACCACACGTTTTGTATCCTATCACTGTTTACAGTCAGGTAAGTGATGACAAACTAGTTACCATCTACCTAAGCAGAAGATTATGATTACAATTATTTTAATATAAAATATTCTTTTTTAAAAAACAGAAGATTATTACACAACAAAAAATGAGCTCTTAGACTTGCATCTCTCAAGCAAGCAGCAGAATGCTAACTCTTACAGTCCTGCTATTAACATGCATAATAATCAAAATTACTCTGCAATTGAGACTTCACCAAGTTTTTCACAGTACTTATTTACACTTCGTAGGCTTCATTCTCGTGTTTTGTTTCTGTACATAATGAGAAGCTGATAGCTAAGATCAAGAACTTACTGTAACATTTTTTTTAAATTCTAACAAGAAACAGTACTTTTACTATTTCCTATTATTTTTTTTATTGTGACAGTCTGTATATCAGACTGTTTTTTCCATCAGGCAGATTATCATTTGTAATAGCAATAATAGCAATGAGTACCTTAATGCTTAGCATAGTACAGATGGCGGATAACAAAGGTACCATAGCTTAAAGTAACATTTTTTTTAAACATCTCTGGATTTTATGCACCCTGCTCGTCTTTTTTAACTAGACACTTTCTCTCTGTCCTAGACATTCTGCCTACAGGCAGAGCACAAGGCATTGCAAAGGATATAGGAGATCTCTGCAGGAGTCATCTCACCTGTTTTGTTCACATCCTATTCATCCTGCAGTTTGGGGGCTGAATGTACAGGACAGGGGAACGAAGGACAAGACATAGATATCATTTAATCCCTGACTGCAGTAAACAGGTCCCAGAACCCATCTCCTTTTTGTTTACACTTCCTCCTCAAACTTGGGCAGCAGGGATGAGTTCTATAAACAAAAAAGCGAATTCTTACCTAAGTGGCTACGGAAGTGTTTAACAAACTCAATCCCTTCTTCTATTTTTTTCCAGAATTTTACATGTCCATCATGACTGGCTGTTATGATAAAATCTGTCCTTCAATTACAAAAGAAGAAAAGCAGAAACACAGAATTAGAGAAATACACATACTTCACTCCACTTTTGGACAATAATTTGCATTATGACACTAGAAGTAAGGTAGTACAGAAAATGAACTTCAAACAAATCACTGTAACAGTCTGTCTGAACAGGTACTATCAATCCTGAAAGAGAAATAATTATTTTAATGTGCTCTACATTCATCTATGAAAGGTCAACAGCCTGAATTTAAGAAATATGTAATACTATCATTTTTTACTATGTAAGTTTTACTTCTCATTTAGGTCTGGTTTTACAGCAGATACTATTTGCTATTATTAAAAAAAAACCACATATATATATACATATTTGTAAATAGATACACACACAATAGACAAGAAAACGATCTCAACCCAAGCAATTCTGCTGAATCATATTTCAGATGCTTTCAGTATTTCCTATTATTGTATATACTGTCCTTTGCAATACAGATTTTAAGAACTCCTTTTCATCTATTTAAACAATTTTCATCGTGCTTATAAGTCCTCTCCTTTACACTCAGTTTTCAAAAAACCTTGAAATGCCACATCTGCACATAACTTTCCTTTATTAAATTTCTGCATTGAAAGCTTCTTAGTATATACAAGAACATATCTCTGATGACAACATACAATGGGAAAAAAAAACAAAACAAAACACCACAGACTTACTTGGTACATGCCACGTGTGTAATGACATCTCTGTGCATGTAACTGCGTTCATACATCGAAGCACATGGTAGATTTTCAAGATAGACATGTTCAAATTCAAGGACTAAACAAAATAAAAGGAAAATCAGGAAGTGTATTTTATGAATGTTTTTATGAAAAACTTTCATTAAGCTTCTGTTCACCATCATTACCTTTGAATACCTCTCATTCCCAATTTTAATAAAGAGAACATTAGGACTTTGTGCAAACATAAAAGGGATTTCCACTCTGGCTTTGTGCTCAGAGTTCTTGATTCTTGGTGGATTAAAGCCACTCAAAGCCTTCTTTTACCTTTACAGGTGCTCCCCTTTAAGGTTATTTTAAAGGGGAGCACCTTTAAGGTTACCTTAAAGCCAGTTACCCTGGCTTTCTGAATACGTAGAAAGAATTTCAACACAACTTTTAAAGGCCTGCCAGGACACAGAAGATCAACCACAGCTCATTTTTCTTCCCAAAAGGACAATGGCCTTGTCCTACAAGAAGGGTTCTGTAGGTACATCAGTGATAAACGGAAGGCTAGCGAACATGTGGGCCCTCATGAAGGCAGTGTGAGACCTGTTTAGCTGGGACATGGAGAAGGATGAGGCACTCAGTGACTTGTCCCCAAGCACCACGTCCAACCTCTCCTTGAGCACCCCCAGGGACGGTGACTCCACCACCTCCCTGGGCAACCCGTCCCAGTGCCTGACTGCTCTTTCTGAGGAGAAATGTCTCCTCATTTCCCACCTGAACCTCCCCTGGCACAACTTGAGGCCATTCCCTCTGCTCCCACCGCTGGCTACCTGCGAGCAGAGGCCGACCCCAGCTCCCCCACACCCTCCTCCCAGCCCCATCCCTGCAGCTGCCCCTCACCTCTCCTCTTCTTCGCCTGCGCCGCCTCCCCCGGCAGCGGCCCGACCCAGCGCTCCCCATCTTCCTCCCCCTCCTCCTCTTCCTCCTGCTCCTGCTCCCCGCCCTCCGCCGCCGCCTCGCTGGGCTTCCTCTTGCGCTCGGTCTCGGCGGCCGCCATGCCGGGCTGCGTCACCGCCCCGCGCCGCCCGCCCGCCTCCCTTCCCCTCAGCTCCCGCCCAATCAGCGCCGAGCGCGGGCACAGGCGGGAGCCGGGCCGGGGCAGCGGAGGGAGCCGCGGCGCCATGGTAGTGGCCGGGGGGGTGGGGGTAGGGGAAGGGGGGCTTCGCCCCTCGGCCGTGGGGGTGAGGGGGTGGGGGGGGCTTCCAGAGCCTAAATGGGGCTCACGGGAAAGGCAGAGGCTTCTCGGTGGGGTTCGTTGCGTTAGGGTTAGGGGGGGTGGTGTTTATGGCGCAGGGGGGCTGTTTGGGTTGGGGGTAAGGAGGGAATTGGAAGTTCTTCCCTCAGGGGTTGGTGAGGCGCAGGCACGGGCTGCACGGAGAAGGTGTGGGAGCCCCATCCCTGGAGGGGCTCAAAGCCAGGCTGGATGGGGCTTTGGGCAACCTGGGCTGGTGGGAGGTGTCCCTGTCCAAGGCAGGGGGCTGGAACTGGGAGATCTTTGAGGTCCTTCCAACACAAACCAGTCTGTGATTTCTATAACTCACTTGCCTTCAACGGAGATCTCCTGAGCAGTGTGGTCTTTTTGGGTCGTGACAAATTAAATGTGTCATTTGCATCTTTTTTGTGTTCATATTCCTTACCTGTATGTGAAAGACAATAGCAGAATTTGTGAAATCTTGAAGTAAAAGCATTTTTCCCTTTGGGGGGGAGGGGGAGAGAGGGGAGATTTATATTTAATAAAATTAAAAAATATATTAAATAAATAATAATTGTTTATTTTCCTTCACCAACTAAACATTTCTTAAGAAGATCTTAAATCTTTAAGGAGGAAATTGGTGTATTTACCAAGTTAAAAAAAAAAAAAGTTTACCTAGTTGTGTACTGCCTGTTTCACCGAGTTGTGTGTTGCCTGCATACGAGGCAAGAAGGAATAACAACATGCCAATGCTTGAATAACAAGAAAGAATATAACATGGCAGGAATAAAAATGCAAAGCTACAGCACAGGTGATGAAACAGCAGAAGAACCCCCCATTTCTGAGGTATGAAGTACAAACAGAAACCTTATCTTACCATACAGAAAAAGGGGAAACTGGATGATACAAGGAGAGATATATGCAAAAAAGAATGACAGTATGATGAATGTAATTTAGAGTTAAAATTAATAGCAGGGTATTAAGGACCACAGATGAATTTAGTTGCTGGTACAGAGAGAGACCTATAGTATCTCCTCAAAACATACACATTTTGTAACTGTAAAAGCTGGTGGGAAAGTTTTGAAGGTCAACAATGTTAAAATCGTTGTAATCATTTAAATGTTTTTTTTTGCTACGTATTTAGAGATATTTATTTCATATCATATTTTCACATTGATGAATTGTATTGCTGAGTAGAGGTCCAGGGTGAAATAGGGATCGGACTTTTGGGGGATGAAATGTCAACACCCTTTAAAGTTTCCCAAGGTTATTTTTTGTTTGTTTTGTTTTTCTTTAACTTCAGGCCCTCTCAGCTCTGCTGCTTTGGCTTTTTGCCGTAAATAAGATCTATTAAAGCTTTATTTCTGTTTGTCTCCTTGCCAATTTCTGGTCTAAGAGAAAAAAAAAAGTCACATCTCAAGACTGCTTAACTTCTTTATTAGCTTTCTGTGGGGGGACTTTGCTGGAGGCATTTCAGAAGTCTTAATAAATTATGTGAGCTAGTTCTCTTTCATGTTGTGGAGACATTCCAAGACTGTTAAGAAGATAATGATTTTCCTTTGCAACAACTGTACTCGTTAGACCTTATCAGATCACAGTGATCCAGATTTCTTAGTGTTCTGTTTTTAATTATTGATGCAACAAATTTGCCAGGAAGGCTTAGCAGAGGTATTGCTACTTTTCAGTTTTGTAGAATACTGTCAGTGTTCAGGGAGAGATTATGATTATTTAATTTTTTTTCTTATTCACTCTGCTATGGCATTCTTGAGCTTTGGAAATGCTATTTGAGTATTTCACTATTTCAAAATTATTTTTTTCAGCATATTTTTCTGTGATCCCTCACTTTTATTCTGAAGAAGAACAAAAGGTTGAATTTCTGCATCGGAAGATGATGGAGACACTTATTTCTTCTTTGTGTGTTTATTAATGCTTCTTTTTAATCTTTACCTATTTGATGGCCTTAGTGATCCACTTAAATACTTTAAAAAATGTCCTGCCTCTTAAAAAAAAATTCCCTTTGAGTGCCAGTTTGGCCTTTCTGTTTTTTTCTCTTACTTGCTATTGTCACTTAATGTCTCTCTCTCTACAGACTTAATTGGGATCACATTTTTAAATATGTATGTGTTTCTATTTAACCCAACCATCTCTCAAACTTTATAACTTAACCCTTGATGCTTGTCTGCTGGCCATCCATGCTCTCTTTATTTAGTTGCCTGCATATCTTTCAGGTTCTTTTGTTGTTTGTTTTCTTTCTAGCAACCCCCAGGACACTTGAATTCCAAATCTTTTTGTTTAACATCTGGAAAGTGTCCTTAGGAGAAATAGATTAGGACACTTACTGTAAGACAGAGCAGAAGTAACTATCCTTAAGAGCTTTGTGGATGTATGAAGAAAAGTATGGCTTTGAAGATACGCACTTATTCTACCATTGTATCTTTATTTAAGTTGTCAGGAAAAACAAAAAGAGCAAGAACACGCAGATGATCCAAAGCAGTTTTCAAAATTCAGGTCTTTGTGATTCAATTAAAAATGTTTTTAGTGTTCTATTTCAAAACCTTGCTACAATATTAAAGCTAATTGATGTTACTAAATAATTAGGTTCTGTCTAGAAATACTGGGGAGTTAACTAAAAACTTCTGTACTCAAAGGGATTGCTCTGGTTCGTGTTTGACCTAACATAGGTATGATTCAGTCATGTGTTAATAACGATTGTTGATCTGCATATTAACTACTAGATTTGCTTGTTAATAGACTGAAGAATCAACTGCATCAGGTGCTGTAGATGCCAGGGAGGAACTCTTGAATGAATGTGAGAGTATCTGGAGTCAGATGGAAGAGGTATGTAAATCATGAATATTGGATCATATTTGTTGTTAACTGTACCGAGCATTTTTTGTTATTTCCTCTTCCTTCATTGTATGCTTACTGCACCCCTTCCAAAGAAACAACAACAACAAAAGGAAGAAGACCTTCAAAAAGGCCAAAGGTAGATGTGCTGGCAGGAACGAAGACTGCTTTGTGGTGTCAATATTTGTTTACAGTGTGCTGATTTAGTTAAATGTTTAGTGGGAGTTAAATACTTAATAGAATGGGAGTACGTATTAAAACTAGGGGAAACAGAAAAAATAGTTCTATTCTGGTAGTATCTTTACACTGAGACTGAGATATTTCTGAGCCTCTTTCTCCTCCCAATGTGTCTTTCCTTTAAGACCCTCAGTACTTGTGAACCGTAACTGACTCCCACCTTGCATGAGGTTTCCGTTAGCATACACTCGTGCAAACTGATGGTTACATCCTTAATCATAAAATTTATCTCTCTTGACAGACAATCCAATATGCTAATGATAACATTTTAAAGCAAGTTGTTTTTATTTGCTTTTTTTTTTTACTTAGGCCAATCCCAGCAAAGATAAACTTGTAACAGCTGTGAGCAAACATTATGCATTCTATAAGAGTCTGCTGAGTTTACTGAAAACTCATGTTCAAAGTTATATTTTGAGTGTCTTAATTGCTTCATTTGAGTTTTAGATAGTTTTTATGTACCACTTATTTGCTTGTGTTTTTACGTTATAATTTCAAAGCATTAAAGTATCAGAAACTGATGTAAGAATACTTCTCATAATACTTTAGTATAACTAAGTACATACAAACCACGATTCATAAATTGCACAGAATTAGATTTTAAAAGGATAATGTGATTTTATTTGCTTCTATGTGTAAAGCTAACACTTTTCATGTTATTAAGAATTTAGAACAATGCATATGTTAATACTGAACAAGTGGCAGGGAATCCAGTACTAGGAAGGTTTCTGAAATATTGTCGTAAGTTATCAACAGAAGTTTTGCTTGGTACCGTTTCCAAGGTTGTGAACTTTCTTTGAGAGTTTCAAATTAGAGGAGAAAACAAAATGTTTATTTTTAATTTCATTGAAAAAAAAAATCTTTCCCAGCATGACCACGACAATTCAGGAAGATGATAATGTGTGTTATATGCAAGGGATGTTGCATATGTTGGATGGAAGTGTTAAGCACCCAAGGTGTTTAAAGAGCTGGCTGACATCATCGCAGGACCGGGACCTCTCTCAATTATTTTTCAATGATCTTGGGAATCTGGAGAGGTCCCAGTAGACTGGAAGCTGGCAAATGTTGTCCCAGTTTTCAAGAAGGGTAAGAAAGAAGACCCTAGCAATTACAGGCCTGTCAGTCTCACGTCAGTGCCTGGTAAAATTACGGAGAAGAAGATTCTTGAAGTTATTGAGGCGCACCTGGGGGACAATGCAGTCATTGGTCCCAGGCAACATAGGTTCATGAGGGGTAGGTCCCACCTAACAAATTTGATTTCCTTTTATGATAAGATCATGCATCTAGCTGACCAAGGGAAACCAGCTGATGTGATCTTTTTGGACTTCAGCAAGGCTTTTGACACAGTTTCCCATAGGATCCTACTGGACAAAGTGTCTAGCGTACAGCTAAATAAAAACATCACACGATGGGTGAGCAATTGGCTGACAGGCAGGGCTCAAAGGGTTGTGGTTAATGGGGCTGCATCTGGCTGGCAGATGGTCACCAGTGGGGTCCCTCAAGGCTCCATTTTAGGGCCAGTCCTCTTCAATGTCTTTATAAATGATTTGGATGTTCAGCCCGGAGGAGGCTGAGGAGGGACCTCATCGTGGTCTACAACTTCCTCACGAGGGGCAGTGGAGAGGCAGGTGACCTATTCTCTGTAATCACGAGTGATAGGACCCATGGGAATGTTGTTAAGCTGAGGCAGGGGAAGTTCAGGCAGGACATCAGGAAGAAGTTCTTAACCAAGAGGGTGGTTGCACACTGGAACTGGCTCCCCAGGGATGTGGTCACTGCACCAAGCCTGAATTTAAGAAGCGATTGGACTGTGCACTTCACACGGATTTCAAAGAACCACTTAGTAATTCTGCTTAGTAGAGTGCATCCTGTGCTGTCCTGGAGCAGAATGAATTGCTGACAGTTACAAAACAAGAAAGAGTTTATTTAGCAGGTGACTTATGCTAAAGCCTTGGATAGCTGTGGTGACCTGAACTTAGTCTTGGTATACATCCCACTGCAGTCAATGTGAGCTGATACACTGCACTCCAAAAAGAAACAAAAACAAAACAAACAAACAAGAACACCTGAAGTGTACAGTATATTGCCCTACTAAATGAGGTGAAACAAATGGGTATTATAATGTGATATCTCTATTTGGAAAGCTAGAATAGTAGCACTTGTGCTAATTCCCAATCCAGCCTTGTCCATGACTATCATTTTTTCCCAGTTTCTCATGCTCTCTATCTGTTCAGTATCTTTCTCCATGCCAACTTTTCGCTTTTAACTTGCCATTTTCCTGAAATCATACATCCTCTTATTGTTAGCTGATGGTTTTCTACTTTTCAATTCAAGTTCTACTTTTCTACTGCAGTATGGTTTCAAAATATTTGCTGTTCTGGGTCAAATTCCAAGGGACGTGGTAAGAGCCAAGTAAAAGCTTTTTTTCTTATAGTAAACAGTTTTTGTTGGGATTTCTAAACATCTTATTTCTTTGCTGCAAAAGGCACGAGTGAGTAAACATTTTCTGTCTTTTGTTTGTTTTTTACCCAGTGTCAGAGCAAGATAACACTTAAAAGAGCAGAACCACTGACAGAATCAGATGCCGAAGTAAGACTTTTTTTATTCTTCACAAAATATTTGTTTTTTCTCTAATGAAATGGTGTGCTTCCAAAAAGAAAATGAAGGAAATGAAATTATCTTCACTTATGCTCTAAAGTTGGCAGCTTTACTCTTATTAACTTTGAGACTTTATTTTGAAGTACATTAGTGTCCAGCAAACGCTGAAAAGTTGTATTTATGTATAGCAAAAAGGTTACAAGCAGTCCTGTATGTACAACCTGATGTATGACTAACATAAGGAGCAAATCATTGGACATTATTTTTAAAACTATATCTCTTTAGTTTTACTCTGGAAATTTGTTTTCGGAAACTTTGTGGATATCATTAGAAAACTGATATGCTTGAATTAGAAATTATTAGAGTGATGTTGAGTGCATGAACATGAGCTCCTATATCCTGAAATTTTGAGGAACATGGAAAAAGGCAGTGTTGGCTCACTGTTTAGTTGCTTGTAAATTCTTAATACAAACTTTTAAAATGGAATTTTTCTGTGGACCCTAAATTTGGAAATATACTGGATGGTGAGTGAAATACATACATTTTATAAATCTTTATCTTACAGGACTTTGGTAAGTATATTCAGATAGTTCATTCAATATATTTGAATGATTAACAGAAATGGGTTATTTTTTTCAGAGATGTATTCGTAGAACACATTCAGATATTGAATTACTAATGTATATCTCTTGCTACTAATAAACTGTGTTCTAAACTGTTATTTAATCAGAATAAATAATAAGTAAAGATGGATATTTACATCCATACAATACAATCTTTCTTCTTACAGGACTAGATAAAATCCTAACAGTAGAAATAATTCTTGTATTATTTTCATTGGGTGTAGGCACAGAGTTATGCTTCTTTCCAGCTTTACTGTAGTGCACCTTGTATACTGGTAATTGTGCTTTGTAAAAGCCTTGTAATTAATACTCAAACTTTGAAGATGTGCTTTTCTTAAAAACCCTTATAGCAAGACAATGATTAAATGGAGTTGCTAGGATGTATTGTACTTCATGACAGAAAAGGGGAGGAGAGGAAAAGGTTATGTTGGACCCTCTGTCAGCAATTTTGTTATGATCTTATTAAATCCCTAATATAGGCACTTCTATTTTCATTGTAGCTGGCAAAGAAGCTGTGGGTTTTTTCTTGCTCTTGACCTTGTCACTGATGTTCACTTCTTAATCACCTCAAGATCATAATCTTGCAATGTACTCCATGCAGTTTTATTCTATAAGCTTGAGTCTATTCTACAATGTCATGGCTTCCTTACTGAGCAGTGTATTTTGCTGGGAATATACATGTGCATAGGGTGTGAGGGAGGCACCTGATATGAATACTGGCTTTATCTCTTTGTCTGTTGAAGAGTGCTTGATTTACAGCTGCTGAAAGGTAGTGTTGTATATCTGATGTCCAGTTACTGGAGCAACCAGAACACTTTGTACATCCTTTTTATGAAGTTGAAAAGATGAAAGAGCAGAGTGATGGTATTGTCAAGAGTGGTGCTCCAGAATTACAAAAGAGATTGCCACCACCTGATGTACAAAATAAAAAACATCTGTATGGTAGTTTATTTCTTTCAGTTTGATTTTTTTTTGTTGTTGTTGTTGTTTTGCTTTTCCCCATTCTTCCTAATATTTTAAAAGGTTGTCTTTTAAAGATGTACTTCTCAAAGTTATTTTCAAAGTTATTTTGAGTAGTGAAAAGCAACATTTATGTTTTTGATTCTTGATATATCTATTATGAGATCTTGCCTGATGATTCTTAGCACTTTTTTTTTTCCTCTTTCCTTCGGTCAAGAAAAAGCTAAATGCAACCTGCAGTGCCTTTTACTGAATGCATTGAATGCTTGACTACTTGTTGCATTTCAATGAAAGGTTAACTTCCTATCAGACATTGTATGATACATACATATGATAACACATATTACATATAGGTGTATTTGAAGGAAAATAAAAGGTGCAGTCCCCAGCTTCAGGAAATGGAATAGTAACACATATATTCTTTCTCTAAAGCATAGTAAACTAAATGCATTTAATTTAAACTAAGTACATTTTTTACGGAATCTGTGGCTGTTTATTTTTTGTGGTTGTTTTGTTTTTCAAAAACTATCTTGAACCGATGTGTAGTCTTATTGCTGCTATATTTTCAGTGGTTACAGTGAGCCAGAGTAGTAGTCCAAAACATTTTTTCTTGAGTCCGCAAATGGAGTTTTGATAGGAGATGTATTTGACTACTGGTTGTCTGTGTTGTTTTTTTATGTTTTGTTTTTTTTTTTAAGACATTCTTTTATTTAGTCATCACACCTATCAGTGTCAGTCTACTTAACCTTACGTGTGTATCAACTATGCATCTAAGATGTAATGAGGGTGTGAAATACAGTGGCTTCCAGTGGCTCATCTTCAGTTGTGGTGACTGTCAGATACTGAAGAGAAAGTTAAGGGGAAAAATACCAATTCAGGGTACTTCTGATCTCCAGCTTTTGAAATGAGAATGAAAACATTTCTTGATTACTGGAACTGGCTTTTTTAATCCTCTTGAAGGTATAAATGGTATATTCCAATAGGTGCTCTTTTGTTGTGTGTGGTGTTTTTTTTCTGAATAAACCTAATAAATTAATTTTTATCCCAGTCTATCTTATTCTACTCTGGAACAATTCAACACACTTAAAGAGATCCTTAATTTCTTGTTATACAGATTTCCTTGTTAATGATGCGAATGAAAGCTTTAACAGTGGAGTTTAGTCAATGGCAAATAAGAAGTCCTGAATGTAAGTAGCTGCTTACATGTAAGGCTGACTCACATTAACTTTTGCAAGGTCTTTTATCTAAGCATCTTAGGCCATGTATGTTTTTCTCATTGTATTATAAGTCATGTATGTCTTGTTGTATTACCATGCTAAACTAGTTAAAATATAACATTTCCCACCATAGCATGTATGTTTAATGTATAGTTATTATGCCATATTGTTTTATCGTTTTGGTTCCTCTCAAAGCAAGGTCTACTGCTATTTATGATTCTGGACAAGAATGCATAGTTCCTGGCACTGTCAGTTAAATGGGGAATAATTGTTAGCATATTTCCTAAAATGTCTTGCACCAGATCACGAAAGTTCATTATCCTGTCATCCTTTTTTTTTTTCTTTCTGTGATTGTTTCACAGAAGCACAGAATCATGGTTTGGGTTGGGAGGGATCACCAAGTTCCAACACCCTGCAGGGACACCTCCCTCCAGGCCAGGTTGCCCAAAACCCTGTGAAACCTGGCCTTCCAGAGATGGCACATTCACAGCTTCTCTGGGCAACCTGTGCCAGTGCCTCACCACCCTCTGAGTAAAGAACTTCTTCCATATATCTAATTGAAATCTGTTTTCTTTTAAAGCCATTCCCCCTTGTCCTATCAATACATTCCCTGACAAAGAGTCCCTCTCCTGCCTTCCTGTAGGCCCCCTTTATGTACTGGAAGGTTGCTATAAGGTCTCCCCCAAGGCTTTTCTCCACCAGGCTGAACAACCCCAACTCCCTCAGCCTGTTTTCATGGAGAGGTACTCCAGTCCCTTAATAATGCTCATGCCCCCCCCTTGGGGGGAGTCCTGAGGGACTCTACTCATCACGGGTCTACACCTGGACATTGAGCTATTGACTGCAACTCTTTGAATGTGACCACCAAGCAAATTCCTTACCCGCAGAGTGGTCATACAATCTAACTCATCTCTCTCCAATTTAGAGGCAAGGATATTGTCCAGGGCAGTGTTAAATGCTTTGCACAAGTTCAGGTAGATGACACCTGTCACCTTTCATATTTCTCCCCCATTTCTTTAATTTGTACTTCCTTTTTAGGACAGAACTACTTTAGTAAATGACTAGTTCTGTCGTCTTGCTGTCATAAAAGAGGCTGATGTATTTTTAATCATTCCAAGTGTGGCTAAATACCGAACTGTAATTTGTCCAGACATATTTTTATCTGTACTTCCTTTTTTTTTTTTTTTTTCCTCAGTTAATTTTGTACAGAAGTGTGCTTTATTATAATTTACTAGCTGAAACCTTGAAGTGAACTTTTAATGGTAAACCCACTACTCTGTTTTAAAATACCTGAAATACCTGACCCCTTTAGATCCAAGCTAGATAAAGAGGTAGAAACCCTTTTAATTTATTGCTACAACACAGGAATCAGGCTGACTTAGTGATCCTAAGAAACACAAACCACTGAGACAAGTGGTAGGTCTCGCAGTTGTTCAGCGTATCTGTCAGAACAAACAGATTTCTCAGTTCTTCCAAATGCCTTCTGTACGTAAGCATCAGTGCTAAGTGACTCGGCTCTGTTTTAAGGCTGGTGTGACCAGAGAATGTGAAAGTAACCATGCAGTATCTAACTGATTAATCTGCTCTTTCAGATGTCCCATTTAGAGACTCATAAGACAGTTTACACTGCACTGTCACTAGTATTTGTTAGCATCCACATGTCAAGGACCTGTTAGCTCCTTTCAGCCTAATAACACTTGTTCATTTATCTTTAAATGCATACGTTGGCTCAACTCTTTTGAATATTTAAATGCCAGACGAGTCTTGGTCTTCCTAACATTCCTAGCGTTTTGGAAACACAATGTAGACAGCAAATGGTGATTTTCAATACTCTGGTCACACTGGAATGTGTTTCTAGGTGAACATTAAAGTCACTTCTCTAGCTTCTTTTCAAAGCTCAGGTAACTGCTGCATAGCATATGAACAAGTAATAGGAGCTAGAAAAAATACAAATGGTTCTCTTTTCTTATAAATAGATGCTGTTTTTCTGTTGGAATAAATTTATAGTTCATGTGCTTTGCAAGCCTGTAAGAGTAGTCAGCCTCAAATGTTTCTTAGAGTAGAGGTATGTAGACCAAAAGTATGACATTGAATAAATTTAGGAAATACTGGTTCTTGGCTGCTGTTCATGAATAAGCTGCTGGCTGAAAGGAAATGAACTGAAAACACTTTCATTTTTATCTGGATAAAATACCTGGAGATGTTAGGTTCCTTTACTAAAACGTGCAATTATTTTAAACTTCAGGCTATTTGTTTAAAAATATTCTTGGGGCTTGACCTGTTTTTATTGGCTGGCTGAGTTGCTTCACTCAACCATTCATACTTGTTCCCAGGTGATAAGATTTATTATTAGAAATCTTAGTTTTATACTGGAGAGATTATCTATGCATATTATAGTACAAATAATATCATTCTGCAGACAAAGCTTTGCCTTTTTGGCTACTTTTTTAAGAGGAGAAAAAAAGAAGCTGCTGCTAAGAATTTAAATAGGGTTACAGTGGGTGTATGAAAATGGAGGGTCTACTGTGCTTACATGTTTCATGTTCTTCATGGCTTCTTTCTACCTTGTTCTGGTTTATCTACTACAGGCAGCTCAGCACCACACATCTGCTTGCTCACGTCCCTGGGTGGGATAGGAGAGAGAACTAGAAAGGTAAAAGTGTGGGAACGCATGGATTGAGACAGATGGCATGCTAGGTAAAGCAAAGCCTTATACAGAAGCAAAGCAGAACAGGGAATTCATTCACTACTGCCTATCAGCAGGCAGGTGTTAAGTCACTTCAAGAGAAGTAGGGCTCATTAGACGTAAAGGTTTCTTGGGAAGACAAACTCCATTATTCTGAGCGTCCCTCCCTCTTTCTTTTTCCCAGTTTTTATTCTGGAGCATGTTGTGTGATGTGGAGCATGTCTTTGGCCATCCTGGACCAGCTGTCCTGGCTATGTCCCCTCCCAGCTCCTGGTGCACCCCTAGCCTCCTTGCTGGCAGGGCAGCATGAAGAGCTGAAACATCCTGGGCTCTGTGCAAGCATGGCTCTGCAGCAATGGAAAACATCAGTGTGTTATCAGCACTTTCCAGGACAAATCCAAAACATAGCATCATATGAGCTGCTACAGAGAAAATTAACTCTATCCCAACCAACACCATGACATACCTATTGTTTGTTTTGAAGGAGGAATCACTTGATTGAAAACACTGAATTAATCTAAATAGGAGTAACAGAAATTGCTAATTGCTGATGTGGCATGAATGTCAGGCTGACTTGTTACTTTGGATTTTTTTTTCAGTAATGGTTAGCTTATTTCTTGTAAATGAGGGCCTGTCACAGTATTTCAATTTAAGCCTTATTTTCAGAGGTTATAACTTAGCAATTTTACATTTCTTTGGGCACAGTATTGGCAAATACATGCTCACTATACAGGGGGGTGAAGGGGAAGTGTTGAATGGGTTTCTTCAAATATGACAATGAAAGGAACTCTAATGTGGGTATAACTCAACATGGAATGTTATCATCTGCACATAGGATATTCATGTCATTAAAAAAAATATTGGTCTAATAAAAACAGCACAGATTACTGCCTCCTACAGTTCTTAAACATGAGCTCAATATGGGAGTGCTATACTCATATTTTGAGATTTAGAGACAATAATTTTCACAGGCAAAATTTTATTCTGAGATGTAATTTGTCTGTATTTTGAGCTCACTGGTTTGAATGATTTCTTTTTAATCACTGAACAAATGCTGCTTAAGATTACTAATACAAGGATTCTCAAAATTTATGGAGAATGTAAAACTACTATAAAATTATCAAAAATGTACTTTTAGAAATTAATGGAATCCACTGTATTGTATTTAGGAAAAATGCTTTTATGAGAAGTTAAATCTTTTTCATTTTTGTTACAGGATAATTTTTTTATTGAAGTAGAATCATAGAATGACTTGGATTAGAAGGACCCTTAAGGACCACCCAGTTCCACCCCCCTGCCATGGGCAGGGACACCTCCCACCAGCCCAGGCTGCCCAAAGCCCCATCCAACCTGGCTTTGAACCCTTCCAGGGGTGGGACGTCCACAGCTTCTGTGGGCAAGCTGTGCCAGTGCCTCACCGCCCTCTGAGTGAAGAGCTTATTCCTTACATCTAATTTAAACCTACCCTCTCTTAGTTTAAAGCCATTACCCCTTGTCCTATCACTCCTCTCCTTGGCAGAGTCCAGTCCCAGCTTTCCTGTAGGCCCCATTGAAACTGAAAGGCCTTGCCAGAACCTTCTCTTTTCCAGGCTCAACAACCCCAACTCCCTCAACCTGTTTTCATAGGAGAGGTGCTCCAGCCCCTTGTTCATCCTTTGGGATCCCCCTCAGGACTTGTTTGAATATGTCCATGGCCTTCTTGTGCTGGGGGCCTTAGAGCTGAATGCAGGACTGCAGGTGTGTCTCATGAGAGCAGTTTTAAAATACCTGAATTCCTTGACCCCTTTTAGCTAGATATAGAAAAGAGGTTAAAAAACATTTTAGTTTTTCATTACAATACAGTGAATCCAGTTCACTTAGTGATCCTAGGAAAACACAGTTGGACATCCTGCTGCAGCTGACACTGCTTTGAGTTACAGGGTTGGGCTACAAAATCGCCGGAGGTCCCCTCCAACTTTAACTAGTCTGTGACCCTGTGAAACTGTCATTCTCTGCATAACTTAGATTTGATATTTGCAAACTGTAGGGATACAGACTTCAGAAAATGTGGCCAAACGTTCAGATGAAGTAAGTTTTTATAATGTCATAAAATGAGTTGGCTATGCAATGTAAAAACTAGTGTATGTCAGCTCTCAAAGTAAAATAAAGATAACGCTGATCATTCTCACAGTTCCTTAATTATTTGATGAACATGTATTACAATTAATTTGAAGAAAGGAGGAATTTGATTCCACAAATTGATAATGTTGATGGAATCTTTTCCACCGAAAAATCAGGCTTGCTTATCTTGAAGTACGTACTTCACATCTCACTGTTGTGTACCTGTGCTCATTCATGTATAAAAAAGTAATGCAAAATTGTTAACATGGCACTTTTTTTTTTCATTCCAAAGTGACAGAATATTAGCCTAGCATTTTAAAGGCTACAGGAGTTTCTCTCTAGACAGACTGCTTTTCAGTAAAAACAAACCTATATCACACAGTGCATAAAACTCAATTCATTTTATTTTTCAGTAATTTCAACTAATCCAGAGGTACTGCTAACATTAGGAAAAGAAGAGGTAAGTCTGTTCGTTTGTTAATTGATATCATTTTGTTGAAAAAAATTAAAAACTACAGTTGTTCCCATGGTGGTCTATTGATAAGCTATTGTGTGCGTTTTTTTAGGTGTTGTGGTTGTTCTGATGTTTGTCTCTTCTGAATTATAATTACTAAAATTTCCTTGTTGCAGTGAATGACTTTTTTAAGCCAAAGTTTTCAACGTATTGCATTTCATACTTGGTATAAACTAGCGTAACATTATATGTTACAAACAATTGTTGGTATTCTTAGATCTGGCATTCAGTGCAAATATGTCTTTGAGTTCTACCAAACTTGAAAGAAAGGGCAAATCAGGAATATGTTAGCGGTAGCATTACACTGTGTTAGTTGGACACTGGAATGCAACAGTAGCTGATAATGTTGGTATTTGTTTTTTTTGAAGTACCTTTTGGTTTCCTTCCTCGTAGCAGCTTTCTTCCCTCTGGAATCACTGACAACAGAAAACCCAACTGCTATTAAGAGACAGAGTGAATGTGTTGTTTGGTTACAAACTGATTTGACTGTATTGCTCTAGCACATTTGATCTGATGGTCTGTTTTGTGGCTTGTTTTGTTGAGGGCTCCAGTCTTTTTTCAGGTATCACATACACAGGGCACACTTGCGTCTGTAGAAGAATTTTTGTTTGAGCAGTTTATAAAATAGTTTTCACTGACTGTGAAAGAGGAGGCAAGATACACCCAAATGATAGGTTTTTATTAAAAGGCATAAACTGTTAGAAATATTGCATTTTAGAACATAATGGATTATTGAAAGACCCAGTCTTCCAAGATGCATGTTCCCCGTAATTGGGAGCACATATAGCTTCTGGCTGCAGTATCTTTGTTTCTTCCTCTTTCCTCTCCCATATAGGTCCTTATCATTGAGGGCCATGTAATTCATGTATGCACTTAGTCTTTCTTGCAGCATCTTCATTTTTCAATGCTATACATTTTATATTAGTGCATTTAACATGGATTCATTCTTGCAAACAGCTTCAGTGAGTTAAAAAATGCAGCCCTGCTGCTTTAGGTGTTTTCTCTTCAGTGTTTCTTCAGGTAGGCAGTTCATGTGTATGCTTCATAATCTGCTTCATGAGTTCTTCTGTGAAAAACTCTGTTGTTTTACAGAGCTTCAAAAAGACATCAATGAGCATCTGGAATGGAGACATTTCAAATGGCTCTCAACAGATTTAAAAATAATATATCGCTCTATAGTCTGATTTCTTAAGAAATTACAGATAATATGCCCTCTTCACCTAATATATGAAACCAGTTTTACGGATATAACCTTACGTAGAACAAATACTAGGGACGTGACTGTCTGCAAACTGTAGGTTTATTTTTACTTTTTTACAGTTGTGGAAAGTAAAGGAAGATCTTGAAAAGGTGCTGTTAACAGCTCAGTTAAGGAATAAAAAAATTAAAGAAGATTTTCACAGGTAATACAGTAGTTTGGACTTAAGAATGCCTTTTTTTAAACCACAAATTATTCTTCTGATTGTTTAAGGAAAACTGTATGTATCAGTTGTGCCACTTCCTATTTTTCATGTTTCAAAGAGAGGAGCAGTGGCATGACGAACAGAAGAAGATACTAAATGCTCTTAAAGAAACTGAAAAAAAGATGGAAGAGGATATTGAATCACATTGCCAAAGAAGGTATTGCTATAATATTGAGGTTTTTTGTCTTGAAGAATTTAAATTTCAAGAGAAGCAAGTGAGCAAACAAACTTAAAAAGTACTACTTGTTTTGTAAAATAGATCAAATAATAGGATTATGATTTTGTAACAATAGAAAATAAGCAATTTTTAATTGAGAAAAATTTTAATTATTCTGTTGAGTTTGATGTTCTATTGGTATGTTTTTATTATTATATTGGATACTAGAGCATTCCATAAACTGAAAGATGAATTCTTCAAAGTAAAGGCATATAAGGAAGAACTCTTGAATGCTTTGGGTGCGTTCCTAGAAGAACACTTTCCCCTTCCGGAGAAAGATGTAACAGCTAAAAAGAAAAAAATAGTGAGTATTTTTGAGTGTGTTTTTGTTTTGTTTTCTTAAGTATTGAATTTGTAATGTTCAATTTTTATTTAATTAGATCTTTTTAAAGTTACTGGCAGAGAGTCTTCTGCTATATTTTAAAAAGTAAATAATTATATTCTTACGGCTGATCCTTTATGTTTAATCAACATTTTTCAGCTTGGTTTATATTATCTAAGGCTGTTCCCAGCTGGATATTTTCTTTTTTAATGCATATAGCCTTTACCCAATAAGATTCATAGTGATGTATTGTGTTTCTTGCTGGACTGCAGTCTGTGCCAGATTTGGAAATGGTAAGGGGTTCACTCCAAATCTTTACACTTCTTTTTTTTCTTTTCTTACTGGACTAGGCAAGTGGATTCATATTTTCCTTGGCAAAGCAAATTTTAATTGCCTAACAATGTTTTTGGAACAATAATAGGGACAAGTGTTTATAATTACAGCATAGTTTAGAATGTTAACCATCACTTTCTGTTCAGACAAACTTGGCCAAAAATTATCTTAAACTTTAGGGAAAATAGGCAGTCAGGGAGTATTTTGCATAACAAATTCAAAGTCTGCAGTAAAAATAAACCTTTGACCACTACTATTTGAAAGACTAGTTACAAAATGCTACAGAAAAGATGGGGGTTGAATTGCATTTCAGACACACTTCAGAACACAGAAATAGATTTCTGAATCTAGTTCCATGTTGTTGCAGACAACCACATAATACAATTTCTAGATTATGATTGAGCTTAATTTAAAATTTTGTTGTTGTTGTTAATCCTGTTCCTATTGGAGTTTGGTCTAGTGCCTCAATACTCTGGTTAGAAACTGTCTCCTAATTTACAGTCTAAATTTATTCATGTCTAACACAGATCCATGTATTCTTATGCCAGTATTGTCCTTAGAATTGTTCTTTTTCTTTTTTGTGTTTACTCCTCCTGATGTATTTATAGACGGCAATCTTATCCCCTTTCTTTCTTTGCTTTGCAAATAGAACTAACATAGCTTTCCTGTTCTCTTCTAAGTTTTTCATTTCCTTGGCTTATCCTAATACCCGTTTTCTATATTTGCTTCCTCTAGGATTCATCTTTTGTTGGAATCTGGTAGAAACCAGTATTATAAACAAAATATTACTAGCTCATAATCACCACAAAAACAACAAATTAAACCCTTGTCTTTTTTCTTGCTGTTATTTCTAACTGATGAGCCCTAAGCTTCTATTAAAAAGTATTGGTTTCACTCTGAACTACATACTTAGCACATAGAAATACCAAATCCACCCTTTGAGGCACAATGATTGTCTTTGAAGTCATACACATGTTCCAGTAGTATATTTCAGTTCTTCTATATATCAGTGCCTTCCAGTATCCTGCTATAACTAAATATTGATCATGCCTGCATTTTGTGAAACCATTAAGAAAATGAATTTCAGGGACTTAATTAACAGTCCTCTTTGAATCAGTTATCTCCTCATTTCAGCCTGATCCGTCATCTCCCTGTTTGCTGGTTCTTATTATAGTTTTTCCAGGACATTTCTTCAAGTGCCAATGACTTTCCCAGATGCATTTTAAGCAGTTGTCCTTTTTTTTTTTCACATGGATGTCATTATAATTTATTTTTAAATATATTTTGTATGAGATACATTAGTTCCTTTGCTACCATATATGTGATGTCAGAGAAAAATTCAGGCTGGAAGTGACCTTTGGATTTCTTTCAATCCAACCCCATCATCAAGCTATGGCCAGTTTCAAGGTTGAATTAAGTTGCTCATAGTTATATCCAGTGAATTTTTAAATATGTGAAACAGTGAATTTGTGTGTGTGTTTCAAAATTATGAGGAAGATTTTATTTTATAATTTCTCACCCCGGAGCAAAACTCAACTCCTTGAATTTTCTCAGCCTTTGTTATACAGATCGTCAGAACTTATTAGTTATACCACCTTTATCTCTTTTCCATGCAATTTTCCTTATTAAAATGTAAAGTAAAAAGGATCGCCCAAGGTCTTTGGGATTAATCTGCCCTTTCCCACCTCACAGAAGCTCACTTTCTACCTTTTATGATTTTACTTCAAAGTAAAAATTTATGTTGATATATAAAATATAATAAGATAAGTCTTACATTGGCTTAATTTTATTTATACCTTTGTTGAGTTCATAAATACAGTTTATTTTCTGATCCGTCCTTTGATTGATTTATTTATTTATTTTATTTCTGGTCCTTGTGAATTCATAGCTGCTTTATCTTTAAGCTCAGTTGGATCTCCCTGGCTCAGCTGCTGGTCCCCCCGATCTGCATCTAAGTGATTAACTGTGAAGGCTGGAGAGAGCCATTTTCCCCTATGTTATTTGCCTGAATGTGTCAGAAATACAAATTGTCTGCATTAGCAATAGAGTGGTGCTAGGTGGGTTCAGAAGAACTCACTGATAGCATCTCTCACCAGCTTGGTGCAGCGCTCTTGAAGCACCTAACTCTCAACTCTGCGTGTCAGTGGTTTTCTTTCGCATCATGGGTGCTTCCTGTGCTCTCAGTAGTTCTGTGTGACTGAACGTGCTTATGGGGCTGACAGCAACGTGAGCTGCTGTGAACCTCTTCTGGTTCCACCCTCCTTTTACCAGACATCAGCACCTGGGACTGGGAGCAGGCAGGAAGACTGAATCAGTTAGCTTTTGTTGCCACAGGCTGACACCTTTGGTATAGATATGGATTGAAGTAAGAATTATCTTGCATTTTAAATCTTAGACATAGGGAGGTATACTAAATTATTTAAGATTAAATGTAACAATTTGAAAGCACATCTTAATTACTTTAATAATTTATTAAAGTATTCATTAATTAAAACACCTTGATGATAGCTTCTTGGTACAGGTACTAAGGAAGCGGACTAGGAAGTGTGCCCTCTAAATTTGTTGCTTCTAAACAGAGAGGGTCTCATGGGTGAAGTGGCAATTGGTGGCTGTCTTGGACATAGTGATCATGGAGTAGTCAAGTTTAAAATCTTTGGTGATAGAGGGAAAACTGCCACCAAACCTTTAACCCTGGATGTGGGAAAAGCAGACTTCAGGCTGCTAAGGGAATTAGTAATGTCCTACAGGAAACTGCCTTTGAAGACAATGGGGATCCATCACTGCTAGTAAATTTTTAAGTACTGTGATATATGGAGAAATAATTCGTATCAAGAAGATGGTTGATATTAATAAAGAAGGGGGAGATGTGGGAGTGTGGCCATGGGGGTCAACAAGCCCTGTGGTTGGTGATAACATCAGGCTCTTAACAATGAAGCCATCAGAAATGTAAAAGAGTTTAGAGGGAATAAAGAAGGGTGATTCAGGAGACCCCTTGCCATCTCGGGTTGCTTGTTTTCCAGCCGTTAAGGCATGGAAGTTGCTGGGGGTTTGCTGTGAGTGGGTAAAGTTGTTTGACCAATGAAAAGTTGTTGGAAAAGGACTGCTGAGGGGAGAAGGGTATAAGAGGGGAGCCTGTCCTCGAGATGAAACGGCAACACGATATAATGAAGTTATGTCATCAATAAAGAAGTAGAAAAAAGGAATGAAAAGGAGCAGGCTAGCAGAATGGAGACCAGGACGGGAACAGGCACATTGATTGCCTCATGAAGATAGGTTCGGCCAGAGTCAGCAAACCGCTCAGAGAAGCTCGTACAGAAAGTTGCTGGAAACAGGTGCACTGGAGCTGGAGAGAAGCTCAAGCTGAGAGAAGCGGAGCCGCGCACACAAGTGCCTCTCGCTGGTAAGCAGTTGCGCATTATGGGGAGTCATACGTCCTTAGGAACAAAGACTGTCCTGGCAACCTTACAGCTTATTCTCCTTATTAACAATCAGACAGTTTATGATCCTGAAATATGGCAACAAATTGATGTCAAGGTGTGGGACTCTGCAACTAAAAACGACAAGGTTGCAGTGGGATTGCTTGGCACCTGGTGAGCAGTCTCTGAGGCCTTGAAGAGCCCTGTGGGACCACAGTCAGACATGTGTGGGTTGCCAGACTGTGAGGGAGCTGCGGGCTTGTTTCCAACTGCTACGCCATCGGCCCCTCTGCTGCTACTGCCATCGAAGGCTTTTGCTGTTACTCCCCCTGGTGACCTAGACGTGCCTTTTGACCCAGACCCTGTTGGCCTTGAAAAGGAGATGGATGTGTTTCCCTTCGATCCGGGAAGAATAGGATACATAAGGCCTGAAGGCAAAGTTGCTTGACAACTTAAAGCGAGACATATTGATCCCATGACTAGCCCTGGGATTCTCCGGTGTTTGTAATCAAGAAAAGGAATGGAAAATGGAGACTGTTACATTATCTGAGAGAAATTAATGAAGTCATGGAAGATATGGGAGCACTTCAACCAGGATTACCAACTCCAACTATGCTCCTCCAGTCATGGACGTTAATAGTATGAGACTCAAAGGATTGTTTGTTACCTTTTCTGACTGCACATATGTATAGGCGTATGTAAAAGCAATGTTCTGTATATTTAGAAAGTTACAAAATGATAGAAGTCAGTCAGGTGGGGCAGAAGGCCAGGTTGGCTGAGCAGGGATCTTCTGAGGCAGAAAAAGAAAGTATGTGGCCACAGGAAGCAAGGCCAGGTGACACTGGAGGACTACAGGGATGCTGTTCACCATTGCAGGGACTAAACTGGGAGGAAAACTGCTGAGGGTAGAAAGTCCTTACAGAGAGAGCTTGACACACTAGAGGGGCTGGGCAATCCTCAACTATATGAAGTTTAACAAGAGTAAGTGCCAGATTCTGCACCTGGGATGGGGCTACTCTGGCTGTATGTACAGGTTGTGGGACAAGAAGCTGGAGAACAGTCCCATGGGATCTGGGGGTCCTGGTTGATGACAAGTTGAACATGATCCAGCAGTGTGCCCTGGCAGCAAAAGGATCAACTCTGTACCCTGGAGTGCACCAGGCACAGCACTGCTAGCTGGTCAGATCAGGGGAAGGGATTGTCCTGCTCTGCTCTGTGCTAGCGTGGCCTCACCTTGAGTACTGTGTGCAGTTTTGGGTATATAAGAAAGACATAAAACTGTTAGTGAGTGTCTAAAGGAGGGCTACAAAGATGTGAAGGGTCTAGAGGGCAAGATGTATGAGTGACTGAGGCTCCTTGGTTTGCTCAGCCCCAAGCAGAGCAGGCTGAGGGGAGGCCTCATGGCGGCCTGCAGCTCCCTCACGAGGGGAGCAGAGGGGCAGGCACTGAGCTCTGCTCTCTGGGGACAGCGACAGGACCCGAGGGAACGGCATGGAGCTGGGACAGGGGAGGGTCAGGCTGGGGGTTAGGGAAAGGATCTGCACCCAGATGGTGGTCAGGCACCCGGACAGGCTGCCCAGGGCAGTGGGCACAGCACTGAGCCTGATGGAGCTCAAGGAATGCTCTCAGACATCTGGTTTGGTGTTTGGGTGGTCTTGTGTGGAGCGAGGAGTTGGACTTGATGATCCTTGTGGGTTCCTTCCAACAGTGAATCTGTGATTCAATGATGCTATGATTAACAATATTAAAGTTTGTGATATTACACTGATAGATTAATGATTTAAATCCTACCTTGTATTTGTATTATAACTAAACAAAGAAGTACATATCTTCAGGTGTTCTGTTCTATGCAATAAGACAGTTGTATTATTTATTTGTCTTAAATTAATTTAAATTAATTAAATCTTTCAGTTATGATATTTCCTGAATATTTAGTTTGGGGGCTTTGTTAATTTGGCTGGTGTGGTTATCTTTGCAGAAAAATTCTGAAGAGCCAGCTACACAACTGATAGCACTGCATGAAATTTTAGAGGTGAGATGGTTTTGTTATATTGAGATTCACTGGATTTTCTACTACTCAGATCTGATCACAATATATTAATAAGATAACAGCATACGACATACAATTAGGATATTTAAAAAGTAGAATGTTTAAGAATGTTACGTTTCTATTTTAATTCCTGTAAAATTAAACCCTCAAATTTTTACCAAAGTCTTGGCAGTAGTTTAAAAAATGTATTTTCTGTTTGATCTGGAGAATGATTGATTATCCCTTACTTTTTTATTTTTTAGTGTTTATCTTAAAGAACTTTTATGAGCCTTAGTGGTTCATGTGAGGGAACCAAATACTTTGGTTAAGAAAAAAAAAATCAAATAGTTCCATTTCATGCTCTGTTTTATACCATGTTAATACAAGTATTTCTGAAATGCAGTACAGTTAACAGTTAGAGAACTAAGGAATATATATAGTCTCTTGTATTAACTGGGCTATAGGATTTCATATGAGGAAATTGGTGAGTGATTCATGTATTAATGTATATATATTATTCATGTATAATCTATTAGATTAAGTATGCTAACACTGATTAGTGTGTATTTTTCATTTTGATGTAATTTACGATCTTGAATTGCAAAGCATAATTCTAAAGGAGCATTAAATATCTTTTCACTAGCATTATTCCTTCTTGTCTTAAATGTAATTTCCTATTCCTCCTCCATCCTTACTCTACAAATGCTTTTAAGCACCCTCCCTTCCCTAGAATTAGAAAATAAAACAATTTTGGAAGGGTGTTTTCTTTTTTTGTTTGTTTTGTTTTGATTTTTTGAGGGAAAACTTGATGAATAACAACACTCTGGTGTTAAGATGGTATGATCTGGTCACTATGACATTGTTGTACTTTAGTTTAAAGCCCAGACAGTGAATTGGTACTTATATCATCAAAATCATTTTACATGCCTCAAGTATCTCAGTGTGCCTATTAATGCCAAATTAGGCAGACTTTGAAAACAAATCAGAATTTGAAATAGGCACGTTCCTTACAGAAATCAAATTTTAAAGCTCTTTTAATGCTTTAAAATTGTCCTTACTTTTCTGATAATATTAATCTCTTTAAAATATGAACACATCCAAGTAATATCAGATTTCCATTTGGAAGAACATAATAGTTCCAGCAGTTCAGACTTATTCTTAATTTTAACTGTTTTGGCCCAAACTGTGAATGTCCCTTATCTTTCTTTCTTTTTTTTTTTTTTTTTCCTCTCTTGAGCAACTTGGTGCTAGTTTCAAGTGCCTGTTAAATTTCAAAACTGTTTGCTTAGATATAGATAGTAGTTTCTTGAAGAGACAAATTAAAAGTCGTATTTGTATTGTAATTACAGACTTAGGATTTGCTGTTGTGCAAATGTAATAGATTCCCAGAATTACAACCAATTCATGTGTTCCTGCCCATGTCTCCTTAATCCCTATATATGCTTTTTGAATAATAAGTCTACATTTTTTAATAAAGGCTAGGTACATACACTTAAATTATTTAGATACATTAATACCTGCTTCATTAAAGTAGCATAAGATACCCCAGCAAGCTGTAATCTCATTTATCATTAAGCTTCAGAATTTTTATTTCAATAATTTTGTTTTTTTAATGAGCTATAATTTTTAATATATAAATGTAGGGATTTCTTTTTCCTTTTACACAGTTTGAGGATTATTCCTACTGGACTGAGTATTTAGTGAACTAATTTAAGATTTGAAAGATGTTTATAATACAAATGTATGTAAATGGTCATAAAAGGCTGTTTTGCAGTATCAGATGTCAGAAAGGACTAAAACATCCAAAACAGTGTAATTGGAGTAAATATTCAGAATTGGAGCAGATGAATATCAAAGACAAACTGGGATAATTCTTTGAAGTGTTCTGAAAAAAAGGAAGAGTGTTTCTTGTTCTAAAATATCATTAGGTGTTCGGGGAGAGAAATAAAGTCTGTTAATGAAGATTTTGATGCATTTTTTCTTCAGTAGTAAAGAGGAGAGGTGGGCAGAATATTTTGTAGCTGTTAAAACTGGAAAAGCTAGGACATTTACAGTACCTTAATAGAAAGATGTAATGTCTGGGATGAAGAGAGAAAGCACCATGGGATAGGTAAAGTTAAATCATCTGTAAGTATATATTCCAACTGATCAATATTACAGGGGTATGGACATTGTCTTCAAAAACACAAAAAGAACATCAAAACTGGGGTTTTCATTTAAGTCTATTAGCTAACAATATACTTCGATAAAGAAAGAATAAGAAGTAAGGAGTTATCAAGAGGTGCTGATTTTTTCTAAGATGTTTGTCATGCCCAAACAAGATAATAAGAATTTGCGCAATCCACTTATGATATAAGCAGAAAGATTTTGGTATGTAAAAGCAGTGAAACTGTCAAACTATCACAGTGATGTTTAACTTCTCATAGGCATAAAGTTTTTTATTTCTAACACTGCTTACAGTAGGACACAAAATACAGGACAGAAAGTCATTTAAATCTAGGAAGACATTTCTTCTTTTTAGCTTATTAGTGAGAAGACATTTAGGAAAATTGTAAGATGGACATTCTTTTCTTCTAGTCTGAAAAATTGGTGGAGAAAGATTATTTGTTGGTAGTCATTTAGGGTTTTGATATATGTTATTTCCAAACAACTGGCTTTCTCTCTTACTTGATGCTTTTAACCTCGTATTAAAAGATACTGGCTAAAGATTAATTATCTTAGGTTCTACTGTCGTAATGTTCGTATTTTTAGACATTTACAATTACACCATTTAAAATCCAATAAAAATTTTAGATAGATGGTGAAAAACTTAGTCTGAATAAAAGAATTCCAGTTCTAGTTTTTACATCATGTTCTAAATCTTGTACTTTTGGTCTTCCAGAACCTTATAAACACATTATTTACCACACCACATGAACCCTATATAACAGTCGACGACTCATTGTGGCCACCTTATGTTGAGCTGCTTCTGCGATGTGGAGTTGCCCTGAGACATCCAGAAGATCCAAACAGGATACGCCTAGAAGCCTTTCACCAATAGTGTGAAGATTTCTTTTCTTTAAAACAAAGCAAAGCACCAGCCCTCTTCTCAGGAAGACATACTTATGTTTTATGATTAATGTATGTGTTTATATCAGCAACTTGATCAGTAAAGGGGCTTAGTAATCTGTTTACCGTAAAAGTCATATCTTGTATGTGACTATTCTGTGCTTTTTAACTCTTCTCAATTTCATTTAGTATTTCCTTGCACTCTGTTGAATCAAGGTGTGAAGTAACTTGACTTCTTTGTGAACAACATGTTGTTTCCTAGAGGCTTTGCAAATAAATATATTGCTTTTAAGATATACACTATGGAGAGTTGACACATCTTTCTGCGCGAAGGGCTGATGCATTTAACTCTACAACTGCATATTTCCTTAACTGCCTCGTTTTGGGTTATGCTGTGTCTCAAAGATGTGAAACCTAAATAAAAAGGGCAGCCCTGTACAGTGGATTCAAATCAACCACAGAGTATCAAACATGTCATTTGAATATGCTGTCTGGCTTTGTGAAAGAAAGGTCTAATCTGCATACAGTTCACTGTAGATTGCATTGCACATACCGTTTGTTTTTACCAAGTGCACTTTTATTGAGTGCACCTTCAGCAAGTTTGCTGATGACACCAACCTGAGCAATGCAGTCAACATGCTGAAGAGAAGGGATGCCATCCAGAGTGCTTGAGAGCCGGGCTTGTGCAGACTGCATGAGGTTCAACGAGGCCAAGTGCAAGGTGCTGCAGCTGGGCTTGGCGCTATCCCAAGCAGCAATCCAGGCTGGGTGGAAAATGGATTGAGAGTGACGCTAAGGAGAAGGACCTGGGGGTGTTGGTTGACAACAAGATTGGCATGAGTTGGCCATGTGTGCCTGCAGCCCAGAAAGCCAACCGTGTCCTGGGCTGCATCACTCTCATGGCCATCAGGGTGAGGGAGGTGATTTTGCCCCTCTGCTCTGCTCTTGTGAGACCCCACCTGGGGCCCTGTGTTAACTTTAAGTTAAATTATGGAACTCACTGCCACTCCAGAAAGTCCTTCTGCTTCAGCTTCAGATGTGCTCAGGACTCCATCCTTCAATGTAGAGCTGTTTCCTTAGGCTCATTTAAGTCATTTACTACAGCAAGAGAAAAACTGCAGAAATCCATAATCCAGTTCTTCTCATGGCCTAAAATGTATTACCAGCTTTTGAGGGAAACAGGTTTGGACTGAAACAAGCTGTAGCTCTCAAAACCTGGCAAGTAAACGGAAGAAGTTCAAGGCAGTAATGAAAAACAGATCTTCCTTATGAGAAAAGCCTGGAAAAGGATTGTCCATCAGTCGTATCAACACTCAGGAAAGTCAGGGAGTTCTACAGACAGAGTAGAGTAATATGTCTTTTTTTTTTTTTTTTTTTTCCCCTTGCTTGTCTAATTCACATTTATTTAACTGGACTTAATATTTATAAATGTGAATATTGGGACTCTCCCTATGCACATTCTGTGAAATAACAATTTGTTTATCATCATCTCAAATTTTAGCTCCACATAAACAGCATTAGAAAAGACGTAAATGTTCAACGAACATTTAGAGCTACTCACCTGAGTAAGACTAATATTTGACCTAGCCCACACTAGCTCTGTCTTTGACAGGACATTTTAGAGGATAGTATTCTTAGAGGAGAGATCGTGGTGGGTTCAATTAGCTGGGCCCCTCTGTCCCTCCGCAATAATTATTTTGTGCCCAGCCAAGGGTCGACAACAAGCAATGTGCATTTTCTTTCTTCACATAAATATATCAAGTACAGCTGCTGCTGTGTAGAAATTAATACACACTTCATGCTTAATACACACTGCTGCATTTAAGAAGCTGCACTGTGGAAAAGTCACAAAGGATCAGAGGGAGGAGGTGAGCTTTCCACCCATGGCACAACTGAGGGACTGGAGCAGCTTAGCCAGGGCTTAGCTTCCAATCCATCATTGGGTTTCCAAAAAATAAACCAACCTATGTTCCATTTCCACTGTAAGGGCCAAGAAGAGAGACAAACCTTTTTAAACTATCAATACAAAGTTCTTACCTGAGGTTCATGTATGTTTGTGAATCACTTGTTGAATCCCTGTGCTTCTTTAACATCCAGAATGCCCTGTGGCAAGTAGCTTCATAATTTAACTACCTACTGTGTGAAGTAGAGTATCCGTTTGTTTACCAGGCACAATACTGACCTACCCTAGATAATACCAACAGACATTTTATATTAGGGCTCATTTTTACCCAAGTGAATTCCTTAGGCAACTTGCAGCAGAGAGGCCTACACAGTAAGTTTGTTTTAAGGTGCATTTTGGTACCCCTTTTCTCTGGCCTGCTGGTAAAGAAGGCTGTGTACCCTCTTCCTCCCTGCTCAGTGTTCCCCAGGCCACTTTCTCATCAGCTCTTGCTTCCTAAGATAAGTTGTCTCAGTGGTGTGAGACCTCAACAGAAAAGGCAGACCTATACAGCGGATTTCAACCTACCACTGAGTATTAAATGTGTCTTTTGGGTATGCTGTCTGGCTTTGTGGGGGAAAAAAAATCTATTTTGCGTATGGTTCAGTGTAGATTCCATTGTACATACCTTTTTTACCAAGAGTTCATAAACTCATGAATAGCTTTTTCTGAAGGCTATATATATACCTTATGTGTTAGTACAAGGGAAATGTCAGGATAACATTGAAACTCTTACTCATGGCAAGGGGATGTGGTCTGGATCAGTGTAAGTTCAAATACTTTCTTTGAAGAAAAAAGTACTTTTTTTTGGATCCTTTCTCCCCCCCCATAAGTTAGAGAACACTTCATAGAATCATAGAATCATAGAATATCCTGAGTTGGAAGGGACCCTTAAGGATCATCAAGTCCAACTCTTGACACCGCACAGGTCTACCCAAGTTCAGACCATGTGACTAAGTGCACAGTCCAATCTCTTCTTAAATTCAGTCAGGCTCAGTGCAGTGACCACTTCCCTGGGGAGCCTGTTCCAGTGTGCAACCACTCTCTCTGTGAAGAACTTCCTCCTGATGTCCAGCCTAAACTTCCCCTGCTTCAGCTTAACCCCGTTCCCGCGGGTCCTGTCGCTGGTGTTAATGGAGAAAAGGTCTCCTGCCTCTCGACACCCCCTTACGAGGAAGTTGTAGACTGCGATGAGGTCTCCCCTCAGCCTCCTCTTCTCCAGAAATTGGAGAATCTTGGTCTGTCATAACTGCTTTACATGATCAGTCAACAAACATAGCAGGTATATCTCCCAAAAGGCAAGACACATCCACGACAAACATTACAGCCATTGCTCTTGCTCTCTGTCATCCCTCATGAATACTCGGGTTCTGCTCTGTTACTTTCCTTCAGCCAACATTTAGGAAACTAACAATTACCATTACTTCAAAGATATCTGTAATTCCAATAGGAGGAAATATGAAAAGCATTGAGACCATCGATACCAACATGTATCAACTTTTAATTAGCTGCATTATGTAGTCTATGACTTTGATGTTAATTTAAACAGCGTCATCTCTGACGCTGACCTACCCTAGATAATAGGGTACCTAGTGCCTAGTCACCTAGTGCCATATTTATAAATGAGTACAAATGCACCCAACCTATAGAGAAAAGACAAACCACACCAATTCATTAAAATGTTTGTGAAACAATAACAAAAGAGGGATGATAATTTAGAAAGAAGGTTTCAATGTTGAGACCAAGCCTACTGGTCTAGATAAGTTGTTCCTGGTACCAAAGTATCTTTGAAAACACTTTATCCCTCTTCGCACACCAGATATGGCAGTAGTAATCACACATACACAAAAAAAAAAAAAAAAAAAAATTAAAAAAAATCCCATGGTGAGGTCCAAAACATGAGTGATGGCAAAGACCACCTGTGGATGGCCATAACTGTTGGTGTCCTTGAGATCTTCCTTTCTTTATGTCCTGGACTAAAGATCCGGCACAAATATTGGGGAAAAAAAAAAAGTGCTTCCCACCCCCACAGGTGATGTTTATTCAGTTTCTACTGTTTTTAGAGGAATCTTGTTGGAGACAAATGTGGCTCAGGAGGAAAGTGGTTCCTCCCCATCACTTCGGGAAACCTCCCATTTCTCAGATGCATGCATTTTCTCTGTCAGCCTGTCAATGACCGACAGACCTTCTACAAGTGGACCCTGATAAAAATTAAAAGCTTAAAAGTAAAGCAGTGGTGATCCAAGAGTATGTAGTCAGGTTATTTGTGTCTTTATCGTCATCTCTTCAGTGTTTGTATGAATCACTGAGTAATGGAAGAGTCCTCAGTGATCCTTGGCCACAGGAGTCACAATTCAGACACCTATTTAAAAGTGTCTGGGATTGCAGCTGAGGACAGTGTCTCATCTGTCTGTCCTTAATTGATCGTCTTGTCTACAGTCTCATGACACGAGCATGATTCACATTGAAACCATCCCAGAGCTGGCTGTTGGAAAGCTGTTTTCCACTCGACATGGTCAGAGGTTGTGAGCGGTAGGCGTTTTCAGCAAAGGTAAACACGTCCTATGCCCCTGTGGCAGTTTTTGCACCTCAGTCTTCAATAACTCTTTTCAGATAAATTATTATAAAAGAAGTAGTTGCTCTGAAAAAGTGTTTTAGTTTGGAGTTGTAGGAGACAGCATGCAGAAGTGCATGCAGAAATGCCTGTATCCTTATCCTGAAGAAGAGGGAATTCATACTATTCTAGATCACTGGATACTGAACATGATGTGTGTTACCATGGCTTCTGAATGGCAGTACTTCTTTCCATCATTTCAGACTCACCGTTTTGGCTTGGAGGTTGTTGTCCATATAAGCTTTGAGAAGTGTACCTGTGATTCACTGTTGAGCCAGTTTTACTGACATGCAGAACTGCCCTTGAATTCTGAGACGTTAATTAAAACCTTTTCTATCGATTCATATCTAGACAATTGGCTGACCATAACAGCACAATCTTGAGATGCGATGACCGTGCTTCTTAGCAAAACAAAATGAATCTTTTTCTTTTCTATAGTAAGCAATAGTGATCAGGATATATACCATGATAAAAATAAGCAGGAAGGACAGATTCCTTTGATTTTGATCGTTTCTGATTACTTAGTGTGGTATTTGGCTGCGTTTATTTGATAAGGCCCATATGTCTATAGTACTGACACTGATTAAAAACTCTCACACCTCTGACTCTGCTAATCATCAAATATTTTCAATTGTCAAGTAAGAAAGAGGCTTCTCCATCTACTCAATATATTCTCCCAGAATAGTTCTGGTGGCTGTACTCTAACATGGTCAAGAAGAGGATGTCAGTCACAACCCTGTCA